TGTATTCCCTAAATAACACTTCAATGTCGTCTATTTGTCATCTAAACTAAGATCTCCTCAGTATATCATCAAGCATCGATTAAAATTTTGTTACTTTTAATCGATGTACTTCACCGTAATTGTAAGAGATGTTGTCAAAATGAGATTTTGGAACGCTATTAAAGACAAGTTATAGGAGAATGACACCGATGCATCCGGCATCGAGGGCGGTGTCGACGTTTGTTTAAATTCGATTTGGAGATGAGAATTAAGCAAGAGTAGAATCGTATGTACAAGCTCGTTATGCACCTCATTCACTAGTTGGCTCGATACCGAATCAAAGCGAGAAAATGGTAAACGTCAAGTGATTTTCACTGGATGTTGAGTAGCGCGGATGCGAGGAGTGGTCCGGCTGTATCGCGGCGCGGAGCACACTAGGGCGGGCGGCGGCACGGCAGCGTTACGTCAGCGAGGGGAAGGCGCGGCACGGGGCGCCCCTCACTGCTGCATCCTTCGAGCGCCCATCTTCGGTCGGCTTCGCTGAAAAACGTGACATCTCTCGCTACCTCCTCCCCGCGCGCCCGCATCTCCGCCCCTCACCCAGCCTGCATCGCTGTCCGCACTCAAACACTCTACCGTCACTCACTCGCGCTCATTAACTGCACAAACTTATATCTCGATGCAATCACGCCCACTTAAAACTTACTTATTGAATTTGTACGTAGGTAATTTATAGAACTAATAAATTTCGTTTCACAGCAATCATAGCGTCTCATGAGAAGGAAAGATACGCAAAGTTGTGTTATTAATATTCACTGAAGATAGGAAGTTACTACATAATATAGAAACTTTATATTTTGTTACATAGACTTCGTGTAGATTCCTTATTCTAATACAGTAGTTAACAAATACGTTTTGCTACATAATAAACATTAACAAATAAAAACAGCTGAATAAAATTAATAGTTTATAATATTCTCAATTGAATAAATAGAAATACAACTGTACGAGTTAAATATGCTAGGACCTAAATTTAAATTGACTATTATTTAGGTGCTGAAATTGCTCCCTTAATAGCCCAGATAAAACATATTTAATGAAGACATTACTTTATTTTGGTCGTATTGCGAGTAAGGAGGGTTTGTTCAGTCGATTGAGTGCGCCAGTTAAGGGGTCGTGGGACATTGAAGGTGCCGCCACTACGGCTGACATCTGTCGCCCGCGCCCGATACTTGAATGGAACCCACGGTCCTTACAACCACATGAACACCTCTTTTTACGACTCTAAAAAAAGGTCTTTACACAAAAAAGTGTGCTCGCTATTTACACTTGCGAAATAAAACACATTCACCTTTTTACGCTTTATTTTTCTTTGAAAAATAAAAAGAAAACAAAATTTAAACTCTAAACATACGAAATACAAATTCTTAAGAAATTCGATATTCAGCAAAGAATTATTTAATGCTAAACTTTGTAAATGTTAATATTAACTTATTTTATATAACTCTATTTAACGATATTAAATTATGAGGTAGATGTTTCCAAATAGTCTTTCTTTCAAACTTATAAATTATTATTAAACTTATAAAACAAGAAAGCATACGAAACCCGTATTCTATAATACTTAATGTATTTATCTTGTTTTTATGAAATATTTTATGATTCAAGATCTTATTATGACACATAAAATAATAAAATCTTATTAATTATTATATTTAAAAATTTTTAAACCAAAAACCATTTTCCATAGAGTTCATTTTACTGGATTGCAGCAATTTATTAGCTAAGCTACGTAATTGTAGATTCCGTCACACTATAAAATTTTTTAAACAACATATCACTGCTTTATACAGAAACATTTTACTATTATGATAACATTACATAACGAAAGAAAGGAACCAATGACTATTATATGTTTTTTTTAATTCTTGACAATAAATTATTATAAGGATCCAAAAATCGATAAGGTGATACGCACTTGTAAAAACTGAAACAGAAATTAACAAATAAAATTATTTGCCTTGTTGTATGATATGTAGATTTCCAACGCCAAAACACAAAACATCCCATTTTGGAGACGGTTAAAAACGTTGATTATCAATAATTATTAATAATATAAATAGATAATAAACCAAAACCAAATGTGACATTCATCATACATACACCCCTAGTACCCTAGTGACGTCTTGGGTATATAAACTTGTTTATATTTTAAGCCTCCAATATTCTGTTGGTGCAAGCACGCGATTGCATTGATACAAACCGCCATTGCATCGCTACACTTGGGATTTATAGGCGATTGCATCGACGCAATCGCGCGTTTGTATCGATGCGATCGCGCATTTACATCGATGTAATCGCCTATAAATCGCAAGTGTAGCGATGCAATCGCGCGATTGCGTCGCTGCTAAATGTCGCCGTGTGTACACTCTTATATAAATAAAATTGCAGTTCACGTGAATATGTTATGGAGCACTTAGTTACTATTTTCATAACAAGCCAAGAAAAATTCTAATTGTTTTTAAACAAGCGATCGAATGACTGGAAAGCTCTCTCAAAATAATTCACAAAATTTCATATATTTCTTAGTCTATTGCTGTGGAAGGATTTACTTAACTAAAGTAACAGAATATTCTCTTATATTACAGATGATTGGTAATTAAGTACCTACATACGTATGAAAATTTGATTACTTATGATTAAACTTTTGAGCAAACGCTAAATGAAATTTTACATAAAAATAAATTTATACGGAAACAACAAAGTATACGTACATATTTGCATTGGTTGATACAGAAAATCTGTTACTATACGTCTTTTATTATAAGATGTCGAAACTTTTCAGGAAGAACGTCGCAATTATTAAAATACTAATTGGGAGAGGTTTGCTTGAAAGTGCTTGATCACGAATTTTTTAGATACAAAACATTTGAAATTGATCTAATTAAAGATACCGAGTTCTTAGGTTTTCACGACTGTTACATATAGGAAATGAAACTATTTTTTAGGATTTTCAAGCAAACCAACGTTTCGGCCCCTTTGCAGGTCCTAACTTAGCCGTGACCATGAGACCGCGATATCTAACAGAAAAAATAGTTGCATTTGCTAAATGACGACTCTACTTTTTATCAGTCGGTTACATTTGTTCTTATGATTGCAAAATGTAGTTATAATTATAGAAACGAATATCCAATTTTTTATTAATTCTTGCTTGAGCGCTAGTTACGTAACTCTACGCTTGGTGACATCGTTTCGTACGTTGCGCGAATGGATGTCAGCACTATGCTCTATGGAATCGTATGAAAAACGATTCGAGAGCAGGCATAGGTCAATACGTTGCGCAGTATGTGTAAACCTTATCAACCTCTGCTTACGGCTACCACTGCTTAAAAAAAGTACTGAAAAAAGCAACATAACCGTGTTCCATGTTTTTCCTGAAAAGATGCGATACAAGTGTAATCGGATTTACTGCATTGGTAATTTTTATATTCTAATAATAAAATAAGTTATAAAATATTATTGCAACAAAGTTACTTTGACTTTGGCACGTACATCAATCTTCTCTGTATTGTGAAGGAAATTATATATTTCATTCAAACATACATCAAAACTAAGATACTCATATTTTGTTGTCATTTATTTGTATTGCAGATTCTTAATCCATTTTGCACTTTCAAGTTGAAGGTAAACTCTTAAGTTAGTGAAGATACATGCAAACTGAAGGTCTGAAGGAATCAGCGAAGCTTTACGAGTATGAGAATTTTTTTATGGAAAATTTAACATTACTGACCAATGACAGTGGCATGACCTACACAGTACATAACTTGTGTTGATATCAATCTTCACGAAAATACGTGAGAATCTTCTACAGATTAAAATTTAATTCTGAATTTATATTTGTACTCTTATGTTTTCTACGAGGTATTTAGTTATCCGTTAAAGTATACTCACGGATATATTTAGAGGAACGCTGAAAAACGTGACTTAAACGTTCATGTCAAACACTGGCCACATACACAAGAATGTTTAATCGAAAACAACAAGACGATTGTAGTAATTCTGTTTTCAAAATTAAACATTCGTGTATGTTTTGGTTCGTATGAACATTGTTATCTTAATTCAACCTTGCTTTTAGCGTTAAATATGTCCATGACTATTTTACTCGTGATTTGTGTTTATTACCTCCCAATGTGTTACAACCTACAAAATAACATAAAGTCTGTCGTTATATAATATAGCAACAAAATCATAATCATACGAACACACACTTAACTTTGGGTAAATATAATAATAATATACGTAAAATTAACATATTGACACTCGAACACATAAATTTGTACTTACGTTCGCAAACTTAGGTTACATATTGCCTATCAATTAAATAGAGTTTGTACTACGTTACGGATTTGTACTGATCAGTCTTTACTTATTCTTCTACAGTTACTGAATTTAATAATATTAAGTTTAAAAATGAGGTAGGATACTTTGTTCTAAGCCTTAAATACTATAGCACTGAAAACAAAAGCTCGAAAACAGTTGCCTCAAATTATTGAACACAAAACAATATCATAATTACATACTTAAACTTTTGGAATGAAGTTCGCTTAGTTTTTGTTTCGAATTAAGTAAATAATAAAAATTAAGATAATAATAAATGCCGCCAAAAAGTCTAAACGTCTACCCATCTAAGGTAAGAAATCTTAAGATAGACGGGTAATGCATACTGAATGTAAATGAATGAGCCAGAAACGGTACATCAGATCGATTTATTCTGGTGATTATCCAATGATAGGTCTGGGTCAGATACCAATCAAATCATGAAATGTCAAACATGACCTACTAATTTGACTTTAACGCATAATTTCAGCTCATCCGCTTACGATCTTATTAGAAGGTCTTATAAGATACTTTAAGGTTCAACTCACACTGGCGCAGAGTCGAAGCGTCGAGACGCGTCATGTGTTTCGCCTATTCATCTCTATTTTCCAATTATTAATGTACAAGTTTGTGTTACGCAAATATGGAGTCAAGCGTCGTTATGGAGCGCTGTGATCTGGGCGCACTATTGCGAACGTTGAAGCGCGTCGACGCGCGTCGCCAGTCGTTGTAGGTAAAAAACAGGACGCGACGCGAGGCTTCGGCTCTACCTCAGTGTGACTTGAGCCTAAACGTACTGAAACGGAACCAGTACGGTATTGGCTGGTGTTTTTTTAATAGCATAATATTTTATACTCTGTGTTTTATCTCTAGTGACCTAAGAGTACCGGAAGCCAAATTACTGTTGCGGGCTACTCAGGCTGACTCCTTGACTGTCCTGTGAGCTGCCCGAAGTGTTAGACTGTGGGTCTTCTTTCTTCTTCTCGACCTATAACGTTAACGTCCAATAATATAGTAGTTAGAATTTACATAGAAAATAAGCTATTAAGTAAATATGACACAAAGACAAAGCTGTACAAAGGGGGAATGCGGCCAGTATTCTGGGCAACACAGCGAGGACTCAGTTTTATTCCGTTAATTTAGCCCTACTCCAAGTATTTAAGCTTTTAATGTTGGTTGTCCTTCGTAAAAAATTTACTAGACAATCTTATTACTCGGTATCCATTACACGTCATGACGTGTAATGGATGACCAGTAATAAAATTGTTAAACAATGGTTTAACGTGTCCGCATTAGTACCGTCTATCCCGTAATATTATATGTACTCATTGTACGTTTAGATTTGAAGTTTCGTCATAATTTCTAAGTATCTCTGTTTTAGAACGGCCAGACGTATAAGGCTGGTTTCACAGCTGTGCGTACGGTCCGTATGGAATGTCTGCTTGCGTAGAATCCGCAGTGCTCTGAATCGAGGATTTATTTTAGTGCGGATGTTCATGGAAGACAGTCGCCTACGAAGAACGCACGGGTGGCTTGTGCAGAGTTCGCGCGGACTGTGTTCCGTACGGAGCAATCTGCGTCATCGTTACTGTAAAATGATGTTTTAACGCCACACTTGTTACTGTGCTCCGGTGCCCTACGGGACGGTCCGCAGATAAATCCGCACTGCTTTGAAACCATCCTTAAGGATATGTACCTTTACAGGACAGTCAGCAATGAGATGGTCCTCGCTCTTGCAATTGTGACATCTCTTTGGTTGTGGACCGATGCTGCACTTTGCCGCTATATGATTGGCGAATTCGCCGCAGTTGTAACAACTGTAAAGATAACAAAATGTTTTCAATTATTATCTGAAGTTAGCTGCTGGATAGTAATTTATAATTGTATATAAATATTGCGTAGTATTCACGTAAAGCTTTTATGGAATTATGTTTTTGCTTACAGTTTAAACGTCATACTATAGAGAATACTTTCTTAACATTAAAAATCAATTTAGATAACGACTAAGTAATAAGTAAGTGAAATAGGACCTAATATTGTCCCCTGCGGAAACCGAATTCGGAGTAAAGTGGTATAATGAATAATTTTAAGTGCTTTTTTTATGATATCAAGTGACGGCATGTACAAGCGTGCATCTATGGTAAGCAACTCGTCTGCCCATAACAGTTGCAGTGCCAGCTTTTAATCGCAAAAATCTGAACTGAAGTTCACCATGAAATGTCATCACGGTTAACTACACAACCATTAACTCAGCATAGTACTGCGCCCTTTTACGTCGTTTGCTCAAAGAAATTAAAAATACGCTCAAGATTTCTCAGGACAAAAAAAAAACGTTCACCATCGTGGCTACAATCAACTTCGTGATTGTGGTTTCGAGTTACTGTCCAACTCAGCTTATTTTTCTGATTTGACACTTTTGGACTTCTGTTCCCAAACCTAAAAAATATATCGATGACTAGAAATCTTCATCAGTGTTTTGAAAAGCTTGAAGATTTTTTTATATAACTGATAGAAGCTTTCCAAAGGGAAGAAATGTATAGAGATAGATGGAGATCACATGAAATGAAAATGAATGAATGAAAATAAATATTTGTATAGGTATGTAACTTTGCTTTCTTCGTTAGGTCGCGAATTTTTCAATGCACCATCACATGTATGGCGGCAGTACTGCCCTGAACGGATTCTTCCACAACGAGCTCTCTGCTTGTAACTGATTGTAAGACTATCAGTTCAACATCATATAAAATTATAAGAATGTCGTATCAAATCGTTTTTATAGTAAATTAATTTGATAAACATTTTATACAGCTGTATTAAATATTTTTACGGCATTTCCTGCCGCTGTATATAATGTTAATAGACTTTTTGGACAGCATTTAAATACGTTTAAATGACTAACCTTCGTATTAAACGAATCGTATACCATTACCTCTGGAACACCACTTCGAAATTTTACAACATTTTTATGGCAAATTCCAAGAATATTGTCAATTTTATACCACATAAAATTTAAAAAGTTACCGAATTTTCCGGAATCGTTTCTTAGAAAGTGGTCGGCGATGCGAGCCCTGGCAATCTACAGCGGAAGGCCCGGACACACGTGTGGCCTCCAATCCCTTGTCGGACTCCTTGCACTCGAATTCCACCTCTTCCTCGTCGCCCAGAGACCGGAATCCTGGCATTTGGATGACGCTCTGTAATTAGAACACTTTTTAATTTAACACTTAAACTATTTAATTATTTCCGATTTGATGTACTTCGTGTTAAAATGCAACGACGACACTTATATTGTCCAGAACAATATTGAGCTGAGGGAAGGTTTTATCTTTATTATTATTTTTTATTTGTAATAAGTTTCTAAAACTATTAGTTACAGAAAGTTAATGAATAATCATAAAATAGTATAGTAGTAGCGAGTCTATGACACTGAAACGCTAAAGTCAAAATAAGTCATCAGAATATTATTTCAAAGGCTTATTACTTAGTGTAATTTGATATTCAGGTATTGCTGTATCCATGTGTGGGTATCCAACCCACGCAATACCTGAGGTCTGATGTGATTCGCGGAGTCTATGACGAATGGTTCTTTATAAAAATTCGTATTAATATATGTATTGTAGCTCCACACTTTCAGAAACTTATCATTTATGAGAAAAAAAATCAACCTTATCGACATCCAATAACATAGTCTTGACCTAATATAAATTTACCGCTGCAATGAAGCGAAGTACTAGTTTGATGGCGCAAATGTATAGAAAAAACATCCGGCCTTGATAAGCCGAACAAACAAACAAGCGTACTATCGGGTGAACCGCTAGATACGCCACCATATCTTGTGAATGGATTTATTTTTCTACAAATTCTATTATGACTCACTACAAAATAACGCACGCGAATACGTTGTTTCATGTTTTGTTTTTATAATAACTGACTTTTGTTCTTTAATAGCGGCGATTCTTTTTATGTGTCTTAAATTAAAGTGTTTTTTTTAAATTCATGTTCCCGAAATCCAAAAAGAAATTTATCATACAATTCCAATAAGAATTTATAATAATAATAACTTTTTTTTGTATAGCAGTACTTTAAAACTAAGTAAAGGTTGAAACGTTACAAGATAAGACGCCAGACTCTCAAAGTAGGGTAACCTGTAAAATGCCTGCCTACTGAGAATGTATTCCTCCTGTCCTAGGGTCGTATTCCAGAACTCTACTCAATGCTCAAGTCAGGATTTGAGCAGACTTGAGTATGATTTGAAGCACTGGAAATACGACCCTAATGGCAAGGACATGAATATGATTTTCAGTGCTCACTGCAATACTCATGTCCTGACTTGAGTGTTGAGTAGAGTTCTGGAATACGACCCTTAAACAACTTCACACTAATACAGGATACAATAAAGTATATTCTCAAAATAACGTCACATATTCTCAAAATGATGTCTATATCACTTTTAACAACGATACATGAAAATATAGAATAACGTGTGGTTTGAAATTAAAGGGCCTCTAAATATTTGTCATTCAAAATTCGAGAATAATGCGTATTACGCCTCAAATTCACGGACCTTTTGTTTAGTGTGATCAAGCCAATTGCCTTGACCCATAAATTTGTTGTTACCTGATGTACGAAGACATCCTGCCCGCCGTCTTGCGGCGTGATGAAGCCCCATCCTTTCGCGACGTTGAACCATTTGCAGCGCCCGCGTCGTGTCACCCCTGTCACCCCTGTCGACCCCGCGCCCGCACCTGCAAGCAAACGTAAATTGTTATCTACCGCCTTTATCAGTAAAGTAGTCAATTGCCTAACGCGTGCTACTTTTGCCCGCTGTAGCTCTTTAAGATATAAATATTTTTTTAAATAAGCAAGGATGTAGCAACTGCCGCTTTACACTCCATATAAAAATTCAATAAAGGACATTGTTAATCATTATTATGAATACAAAGAACACACAGAAAAATTTGTTTTTTTTTTTACGTCGACCTGGTCGACATTACAACTACTGGGCGATATAACTCGATGTGCCGAGGTCGCTTATCGAGGTCTTCAATAAACCCAGGAGGGTGCTGTGATTTTTGGAGGAGGTTGGGTGGCACGAGTAGGACCTTGCACCCACCACAAGCAAAATAGGCGCCTGGACGTCGAGTTGCAGACATCAGGCCGTTACACCATACCATACTCTTTTAAATTTTTGTGCAAAGAATGTTCGTTTCCAAAAACTGCTACTATGTTCGCGAAATATCGAACTGTATAGAATAATAATTTGACAAGAAAGTGAATAGCGTTACAGTCTGACGTAGAGAAATCAATAGTTGGCACAATTTGACATTTAATATCTGATACCGTGGGTGTTCCACATTCATGAGCTAATTCATTTCGACTTTGAGTGCAGTATAATCTAATAAAAGTAATAACGCTTTGACTGCCTACGTCGACGGAGATTTTTCAAGAAGGAAAGTTTATGATTAAAAACTGACCTAATTTTTGATTAACTACAGTATTTAAATGTAGTACCAGGATACATTTTATTAGAAAATAAATAATGAGATTGCATTAAATGAATCGTCCCCTTTTTATAAATGCATACTGAAATAGACATTTTACCGTTCGGGAATCTATTAGCAATAAATAAGGCCCACGATCGTTTACTGTACATACTAAGAAAGGGTACACTATTCCCCTTATCGCGCTCCTAACAAAAAATAACGTGGGAACCGAATGAAAGAATACTCTGCTGTTTATGTCATTTTGTTGAATTGAAAGACTTATAATTTAGGCATATCAAGTTTAAAATAGGTTAATTTTGGTCTCTCTTGCGAATAAATAAATTAGTCACGTTACAGGGTTAACGAGCAGTCATCGTAAAATGAGTAATCAATGAAACATTTCCGCATCTTGTAATAGTACATATTTTTGGCAGATTCTTTAAAAGCAAGACGATAATAAGTGGATGACTAAGAATCTCTCACAACATCTTTACAATTTAGTTTCGTCCCACAAATAACAATTTGAAATTAGTTAAACTTAGCTTCAAAGATTTCAAAATGCGACACAGTACTTTCTATTTTGTGTCTTACCACAACCCTATACGTTTCATCGTATATCTTGAAAAAGTTGTTGTTTTCTCTATAGAGATCCACCATTCACCTATATAGTACTACAAATTCAGCTTTCAAAACAAAGCAGTATAAAATAGCCGCACATTCCATGGTCTTATACAAAACCCATGCATGGTTATTGGCAAGCTTGCTAAGTCGATATATACATTTCTGTGTGCTGGCATGTAAGCTAAGCACAGTATTTCGGGCGGCGGCAGCGGTAAAAGCGAGTTGATGGGTACACGTGGCGACGACGGCGCGGGGACTCAAAGAATGTCCGGTATTTAGGTTGCGTTTCTGGTACTTCTTCATTCATCGCCGCAGCACTGCACCTAGCCGGTATACCGCACAACCTGCTTCGGCACACGCTCAATATTTATCATTCCCTACACAGCATTAATGAGAAAGCGTTAAGACCTGTTCCAAGTTTTACATGGCTTGCGTTTCAACACATGTTTTAAAGATTTTTGATGAATTCCGCATAGCTCTGGTACCTATTGGTATCCCAAGTGACATACGTCTACCGACGATAAGAACGGAATTTTCTATCAATCACGAAATCATTAGTTATTAATTTATTACGTATAATGTATGAATGCGCGCATATTTTTCACTTAAAATTGTAATAGCCATTCATAACTTTCTACATGACATGTGCATTGTTGACACCTTGACAGTCATCGGCATTACCAGAATTGCTATTATGGAATTGTAAGTTAGAAAGTTAAGTTCTTCGCATAGCTCAGGTATTGTTAAGTAAGTTATTAGATGTTTTATCTAAGAAATAAGTGCGGCAGCGAAGGCGCGCAGTAGCGGCGCGAGCGCATGCATCCAAGTCGTGTATCTGTTTTGTTTACCCAGCATGGTGCGCGCAAGTCGCTTCACGCTTCACCTCTCCCTCCGCTGCTGCCCGCATCTACTCATTCCTCTCTACACTTTGGAATTTCAATGCAGCCAAACTTTTTATGTATGCGTAACTTTTGATCGCATTCCTTTCAACCAGCGCACTTAGCTTTAGGTGTTCCGTTCGAAAATACTACATTCATATTTATGTTACGAGTTTTCTTCGTTAAACAATATTTGCAAAATGATCTCAATATTGCGTCGCTATTATATTCTGAACTCTTTATGTAATCCTGCAATTGCTATGTAAGTTTTTTTTTGTAAAAGACATAATCACAACTAAAATCTACTTGATTATCGGGCAGCGAAGAACACAAATATCTACAAAACACAACAAAAGTTATTTTTGCTACCAAAAAATTACAAACTTTCCACGTGACAAAAACATATTTTGCACGTGTTTTTGCTATCAATAGATAAAGATGAAAATAAAAACAGCCCCCACGACATTCGGCAGCCAACTAAAGTTGGAAATCGTGACAATTCCGGTTTATTGTTAGTTCATGCAGCTATTATACTATTTCCAACATGAGTTAATTTAAGCTCATGTTATTTTAAAATCAGGAAGGGGAAATTCTACGCATATTTTAAGGTACATTTTACTGTTTGTGCTCCCTATTTCGATGTCTTATTATAACACGATTATGCATTGAGACCATTATTAGTTAGCGGGCAGCTATTCCGAATCATCATTAAATAACATTTAGATAGAGTGTTAAGAAATGAGAATTAAATTTTGACATAGAACTTATAAACACTCATAACATATATAACACAATACCACTGAGTAGGTTAAAATAACTCGACAAATCTTACGTGTCTACTTAAGTTGTAGATAGAAAAGTAAATTTGTTGACAGTTGTGCATCAACATCGTAGACTCTTTAAGGTATTTATGGAACATTCAAATTTTTCTTTTTATCTATCGATAAGATTATGTGTATGCCATACCATATTATTTAAAATTTCCTGAACAACTACGATTACTTATTAAAGGAACCGTCAAAAATTCAACCTTATTTATTAAATGACTATGTTTATCGTGTCAAAACATAGTCAATTTACGTGGCAAATACTTGATTCAATAAGACATTTTTAGTTCATATACAAACCCTCATTTGACCAATGTCGTTTACTTTGACCCAATAAATTACCCTTAAATCTATGCCCAGCAGAGCAATATAATTGAAAACGGATGCAGCATAAGAACGAGACTAACACTGATGCAAATTACAAACCATTAACGTGTAATTGAGGAGGCCATAGTAAATGAAAATGCTTTAAGTCATGATACAGAAGCAAATTATGTTTTAATAATAGATATATCGTTCAAAGTGACACGTGGTTAAATAAAAAATATAAGATTTTCTTGCTTTTCTCTATAATGTAACCTAAATCAAACCTAAATACCAAAATTAATTATCACTTTGCATAAGTTTCCGAAGGAATTGAGAAGATAAAATATCGACAAAACATCCTAACACCCATGTAGCTAGTGCCCAATCCGTGTTTAGCAGGGGGGTGTTTAGCATCCAAAACACTTTTCTATGATCGCGACAGCCATGCGAAGCAAACAAATGAAATGGCCTACTACCTAAAATGGTCCCACCATTCACTACTATTTGCTGTTATCAATCGTAGGTATGGAATTCGAACGTGAATCACCGTCAAGTGGCGCTTGCGCTTCGGGATCTTAAGCTAAGTGTGAAAGAGACGGAGCAATGTACCACTATTCAGATTTAATTGACTGCCTACGAACTCGGACCCAGCTGTAGGGAAGCGACGTAACGTTACTTAACATCGACTTTCTAAAAATTCCAATAGTTCTTCAGTAACTCTCCATGAATAATAAGCACATTTGCCTTTGGCGACTTTTCGAAACTATGGCGTAGTTATAGTACAAAAAGTTTAGCGAGTACGTAATGGGATGATTCATATTACCTACGTATTTCATCACGATAAAATCAATTCGAATTGATTAATCATTAATCCAAACAGACCGCAGAAAGAGCACCACTAAAGTCACTTATTAAAATGCGTGAAAAATACAGACTGTAAACAAAATTTGTAGTTACCATGAAAATATCGATAACTCGTTCGTCACTAACTTTGGTATGTCCACGACAAAAACACGTAGTGGAAGAGTGGTGGGGAGCGAAGAGATTAAGGTCCTTCCGAAATGCAGGCGGTTCGACAGCACAAAACTTCTTTCACAAAAACAGACAAATATAAATAGGAATAAGAACTAGAAATATAAACCTTACCACCACAAGATTAGAGTGGAAAATTAGACAGTCACACATATCTTTTCGTATAGGTTGCAAGTGAGTCGCACGCACGTTCTAGCGACTAAAACGGAATCGTCTAGTAAACAATTACTATTTGATGCGTAGACCTCGTATGATTAAAACTAGAATTGCGACGTCATTTGTTTTTAATTTGATAATATGACTACTAAATGAAAACACACAGTATTAGTTACACGCAAAATCTAAATGAGGCTGAGACTTTATACTTAAGAAAATGCATCAAAATAAACAAATTCTAAATTATAACAAAGTTTAAAAAAACACAGTAAAGATATTTACATTTCACATTTTTATTTACATTTACATTTGCATATATTAGTATATTTATACTTGATATTGTATCATCGCTCAAGGCACTCACTAATTACAGTGTTTATAATTAGTGTTGTTGATCAACACGATACCAAATAAACATGGTACGCATATGTGCGACATAAAT